TTATTGCATTTCCAACTATGGCTTTCCTGTTTCTATAGCATCCTGCTTCCTTTCTGTTTAGAATAGAACATTTTAATGTCTCTATTAGGTTCAATATTGCTGAGTTATCTCCCCTCCCCCTCCCCCCTCCCCCCCAGGCTTCTGAATACTCAGTCCAGGAAAGCTAAACCATTCTAGCCTTCATCAGTTCTGGGAAAACAATCTTCAGAGTGGGAAAAGACATTGAAAAATAATATTGTGTGAGTTACTTTCTACCCTTGCCCAGAGATGAGAAACATCTGAAGGTGGAGGAAAAAAGTTGGAGGTGGGGAACACAAAGTCTTTTTTCCTTTTGCTACTGAAGAAATGATTGCTTTTGTTATTAGTGATGATGCCCTTTAATTTGATGAGATCGAGATTCCACAGCTTCAGCGCCTGTGAATAACCAGCTGGGAGAAAGCGCTCTAGGGCCCCTGCAGTGGGAAAGGCAGCCCCTCTGAGCACCTGTAGTTCTGTATTCTTCCTGCCTCCACATGGGTTCGCTAGGCACCATGCAGGACAATGCAGTTACCCGAGGTGGAGGACTGGGAGACCCCTGCTGTGTGGAGAGCCACAGGAGCTCACACTTGAAGGACAAATTGTAGAGTAGTGGGGCGGTCATAGGAACAGAGGATGCTTGAGACCCAGGATGGTGCCCTGGAGTCCAGCAGCCAAGGCTGGTAGGGCAGATGGGGCCCTGGGGCATGGGCAGTCCTTGAGGGATCTGAAGCAAAGATAGGAACCAAGAGACTGGATTCGTGTGGGGGTACAGTGCCCCCTGGAGGCTGCGGAGCAGTTCAGTGAGCCCAGGGGGAGCGGGCACTTCCCCAAAGCTGGTTTGACAGGTCACAACCAACTCACTGGGGACTGAGAGGCACTGAGTCATTTTTAACTTTTTGTCCCTCTTCCTGGAAAAGAAACTGCTGCCTGTTAAGTAGCCTGTGTCATTAGTGAGAATTAAAGACATGAAGCAAGATTGCCTCAAAAGTCATCCATTGTGTAGTTGTTAATAAGGGTCAAATGCAAACTTGAATAGATGAAATGAAACATTTATCAGAGGATTTTAAAATTCTTTAAAATAAAAATTCTTACTGTCTTTGTTCTTCATTTCAGGGTTCACTTGGTGATAATAATAGTAACCAAAGCAATAGCAAACCCTTACATAACTCTGTCCTGCTGTTCCAGGAATGCTGTGTTCATGACAACCCAATGAGGTGGCACCATTATGAGTTCCACTTTAAAGGTAAGGATATTCATTAATCACACAGCTAAGAAATGGCAGAGCTGGTACTTGAACCCAAGCTGTCTGGCCCCAGAGCCCCCTCTCAGCCCCTTCACTGCAGCTCATCACTTCGCATGCCTGACACAGGCCAGCATTTAAGAGCAGCATGACCTTGGCCAAGTCTGCTTCACCACTTGGTCTCTGTTTCCTTATCTGTAGAATGGGGGTGTGGGCAGTGAACACTGTGAGCTCAGTGGTCACTTCCTCCAGCTCTATATTCACTGCTTTGAGTTAGTTTGGTAAGTATCCGAGCCCCTACATGGCCCACAC